GCATGGTAGGAATTTAGGTTAAAAATATACTTCATTCGCCGAAGGTGAATGAAATATAACCAGGGGCAGTCAGAAACTTCTATTTTTCTTCACCCCACTACATAATTAGAGTCAAGTGGCTGGGCTTTTAAGAATTAAATGCTTACATGAGTGAAGGTCTTAATTGATAATTTTCCAAGTGACGAGTTCACAAGCTGAGGGAAGAGCTGCAAAGAGACGTGCAAAAGGAGAGCTTTGCTGAGTTGTGTGTTGACTACGGAAGTTTTCTTTATTTTGGTGGGACCTGTGTGTTGGATGACTACGTGGCGTCAGGCATTTGTAGAGTAGAGTAGGGAGATGCAGGTCGAGTACGTCCATTGTTGACTAAAATGTTGAGATTAAACTGATTAAAAAATATTGGCTAGCAATAAGGATAAGGATTTTACTATTTAAACATTAGCAGAGAACTATAGTGTTACATTTAACCTGAGATGGCCCCTTTCAGGGCTGGGATCTATGAATCCAAAACATAAGGAAAAATTTTGCTGTGGGGGGAAACGGGAGTACCCCGAGAAAACCCACTTTCATGGCCAGGGTGCCGAATAAAATACCTTGACCATGCCCAGAAAATGCTGTGGAAAAAGACATATTGTTAGTTTTCATGGGTTGAATTCCATGTAGCTACTGGTAATGCTTGAAGGCTAGAACAGGCTTGCTGGGTGAAGAGGCGACGTGAGTCTGTGTGCACTGGAGTCGTTGTTTAGCTGGATTTGGTTACGGTTGATTAGTCGACGGAACGGTGCTTTGTGTAACGGGATGGTGCTAGGTGAGGTGGAGGCTTCAGTTGGTAGTGCGTCTGAAGTTCTTAAAGTGGATCTTGTCAATCTCTTGGAGTCTGTGTCATTGTGGTCTTCAGTCTGGATTATTTTGTCCTTTTTGGCTATCCTGGTCTGTGTTTCTTGGTGTGTAAGAAAAAGGCTGTCCATAGAAGTAGAGGCATCACACATGGTTGATAGAGGTGACATGGTTTGTGTCTGTCATGAAGTTACCTGGAGGTTGGTTGTTTGAGTGCTGGAGTTTACTTTCATGGTTGTTTTACTGGAGGTGATAGGCGGTTCAGTCTCAGGAGCGGTTGAGGCGGCTAGAACAGGATACTGTTGATTTTGATGTGTCCTGGGCTTGGAAGATCTGGTTATGGCGTCGCTGTTTCTAGTGATTAGGCATCTCCTTCGTCTTTCGGCTGTGAAATGAAAAAAGAAGTGGACAAAACCATTAGTTAGCAAGTGTTCTGCAGTGAATTTGGAGGTAGTAACGATCTTGATGTATTGGGTAGGCAGAATAAACTATCATGGGATTGATGCAGCACAACTTCCCATAACTTTCTCAGTATAACTGTTTGCCAGGTC